AAGGACAGCAGGGCCGCCCAGGACAACAGGGCATTGCAGGCCCTCCTGGTATGGTATATAGCACCTCTCTCAAATCACTGCCTCCTGGATTGTTATTTTCTTTGTAACGAGGCAGTTGATGTTCTTCTGAGCTTTTTAGAATTCAACTGATGCAGTTACAGTCTCTGTTTATGTTAGTTTGAGGCTTTGTTCACCTTCTCTGGTTCCAGCTAAGGTCTGTAACAGCCTGTTATTATCAGTTCAGCTCAGGCAAGAGGTTTTAATTTTGTTTCAGTATTGTAAAGTTTTTTACCAGTTCTTTTTTTTTTTCATTTAGACATTATCAAGATGTGATGATGTGATAGCCACAAAGGCTTGTTCTACCTCCTAAAAAGAGAATAAAAAGCTAAGACATAGATAGATGCAGAGGGGAAGAAAATGGAGTGGAAAGAGGGGACAGAGTTGCAGTTGTTTGTTAAAGCAACAGAAAAGATCAAACAATTAAAAATATACATAAGGTGAATGTGTAAATATACAGCAACACAGAGGTATGCAATGCAGGCTTTATTAATGTGAGTGCCAGTCATTGTCTTCAAAAAGGGCATTGGATGCTCTTACATAAAGATATCTTCAAAATTATGATGTGGTTTTGCAGACTCCAGTGAACTTGCACTGACTCATTAGCAGAGTTAGCAAAGATCAGAATCCACTGCCTGTTTAGGGGTACCTTGAATTTGTAATAGAGCCAGGGAGGGAAACAACACTGCCTGTATGGATTCCCACCAACATGGGTGAAATCAAAGGCAGGACCCTAAAATGTCTTTCAATGAGAGGAAGTTACTGCCTGTGAAAACAGTGGGGGTGTTAAATCGACTTAAATCCAATGAGCTCAATAAAAACATATGCTGCTCTTTACAAATGTTTATATACCAACACAGTTACATCTGTCTTGGAAGCAGCTGAACTAATTAAATTTTAATAAAGGGGACTTGTATTTTCTCCCTTCAAAATACAAAATAATACAAGTGAAAATGATAATGTTCCATTATAATTCACAGGTGCTGTTGGATACCCTGGAAAAGATGGATTTGTTGGTGAAAGAGGTAATCAAGGTCAGGATGGTATGCCTGGTCCCCCAGGAGTAAAGGGAGAACCAGGTAAAACCAATGAAAAATTTTAATTCTATTTTACAATTGTTTTTGCCAAGTTAAACTGAAAGGGATTATTTGGGAAAGATTAATGAGGAGCTTCTGTGGAACCAAACCAAAGTTTATAAGTTGAAGGTTTTTCATTTTACATAATTCACAGGGTTTTCTGTGTAATTGTACATGCTGTTAAAACTTAAATGCTTATGTCACTGCACTATTCTACATGTGATTTTTTAATAACTTACCCTAAAATGTTAATGTTTACCAGAGCCAAAGTATTGCTGTTAGCAATTCATACGTGTTTACTCTTAAAGAGATTAAAGGAACCAAAACCTTTTAAAGGAATCTCCTCTCTTATGTGAAAATAAAATAAAAGGAATCACAATGTTTACTTACATGAACAGTGAAGGTTTCCACGGGCTGGCTCTTGGGTTGTAAATTTTTCATTTAAATGTCATGCCTGATGTCTTCAAGGCCCACAGACAGATGTAGTACCCATGGGATTCTGACAGAAAGGGCTTTCTTATTTTTACAGTGAAAATGTTTCTTTGCATATTAGTCTAAAGAGGATACTGAGACAGCTTTCACAGTATTTGCTAAATTTTTTATATTAAGTTTGAAGCGATCATTATTAACATATTTTCTTTTTTAGGTATTTACATTTCTTCCTTTCTTTTTCTCAGTAACTAATTTAAGATTCTCCTTCTTTCTTTTTCCTCTGAAAAAAGGCAAAGCTTATTTTTGTTCCTCCAATGCACCTCCAATATGATTCATCAGGATTGGATTTTCTACTATAAAGGAAAACTTACAAAATTATTTTTCATTTCTAGGTAGAAGAAATGAAAATCACTAATAAATTATATTTCACATATAACTAAAATCTACATTTTGATTCAGTGAATTGTGAAGAAATATATAAAATATTAGGCAACTATAATGTTTTCTTAACAATTATTCAGGACTTTGAGTATAATGTGACCTCTTATTTTATAGGAGTACTAGGGAGAGGAATCCCTGGCCTTCGAGGTGTTCCTGGTCGTAAAGGTGAGTTGTCTTTTCAGAAAGAAATAGCTTGATTTTTAAATACCAGACTCAACATCTTCATCTTTAAGTTGCTTCCTGCTTTTGGATACTTAAAATGGCACATACATGTCAGAGAAAATCAAGAGTGATTCTGTGGTTTTGATCGATGCTATATATTAAAGATCAAGAGTTCTTGCTTGTACAGTTAAGACTTTCACAAAAGGAAAATTAAGAAGTTAACTTCTGTAGTTTTGTGAAGGTGATATACACGTTCTAGAGCTTTTGAAAGCTTATTTTGAGACATTTTGATTAAAAGAGTATGGTTTAATGAGCTACAGTGATTGTATCTTAATTTTGTTTGTTTCCCCTTTTATATTGATGAACAGTTATTGAAGGCACTCTTCCCATTTTTTTGGTTTTTTGCATTGTATTTCTAGTACAGGTAGAGATCTATTGATCTGTTTTACTTGAAAAAAAAAAATCTCTCTTCATACCCTCCAAATATAGTTCATGCACTTAAAAATCAACCTTAGAACAATACCCTTTTGGAGTAGTCTTTTCTTTCATTGAGCTCATATTCAAGCTTTCAGGTGGAATTTAGTTTAAAAGGAGCTGCCAGTCCTGATGTTCAAAGAAGCATTTATTCTACTTGTGCATCAAGAAAGATGCCATGTTCTGGTCTTTCTACCCTCCTTGATTTTATTCCTATATATGAGCAATCTCTGAAGTGGAGTTTTTAAGTTAAAAAAATTAAAAAAAACAAAACCAACAGTGCTGTGTACACTACCTGGCAGTGAGTCCTGCCCTCTCACAACTATATTATTTTACAATAGCAAGGTGGCTTTAGGGGCTTCTCCATACTGAGAACCAAGGCTGAATTCACCTTTGCTGTGGAACGCACGGACTCCGTGTAGTCACATCTTACCATTTTGACAGCTCTCCCCGTATGTAACACCTATTCTTTGCAGGAATCAAAGGAAACATGGGACTGCCTGGTTTTCCTGGGCCACCAGGTATGAAAGGTCGTCAGGGTGATCAAGGACCTGTTGGACCTCCTGGCCTAGTGGGGTTACCTGGAATTCAAGGCACAACAGGCATTGCAATTACTGGGCAAAAAGGGAACAGAGGAATTCCTGGTGCAGATGGAAGACCAGGTGTGTTGTTATAACTCCTTATTTATCTGAATCGATATACTGATAATTGAAAAGCAGAATTCAGCCTGTCCAGAGCTCAAGGTTGAAAGGGCAGCTTCATAATTAAGCAGGTAGTTCCTTCACCAGTTAAAGCAACATTACTGTTACAAACACCTGTCTGTGCAGTGTGATGGGAACTAAAGCAACACAAAGCTTTGCAGTCCACTTAGTTGCATTTTGCTTTCTTCCCATGTGGTCTGTAGGGCAGCTGAGATCCAAATTGAAAGAAGTGAGATAGCATGAGTGTTATTACAGGCATAACTACAACTGGAGGATATTAAAAACCCTGTAGTGCTATAGAGGACTGCAAGAACTCAGCCCTGATCTCAGAATAAATTAGCATGCTAGGAAAAATTAGTTGATTTTTTAAAAAATTCCCTTGGAAATTGCTGAGGTGGTAAACATGAATGCCATTATAGAGTCATTGAATGTTGTACTGCATTGTATGTAATGTATTTGAAGTGCTCTTGGCAGTAGTCTTTACTGTGATGTTTCTGTGCAGGTGCTCCTGGTTTTCCTGGGCCTCCTGGTCTTCCCACTCCCAGCATGAAAGGAAGCAAAGGTGTTAGAGGGGCAGATGGCATCCCAGGGCCAATGGGCCCAGCTGGAGACGTTGGTCCTCCTGGTCCAAAAGTCAGTGAAAGGAATATTTCTTGTTTCTTACTCCATTGTTAAGTTTGCTCTTACCATGAAAATAACATCCAGAACAATTTAAGAACAAACAAACAACAAAACCCCAACAAATAAAAACACACCAAAAAACCCCAACCCTCCCCAAACCAACTTGTAATAGAAGACAAATATTAAAAATTATAAGAAATGAAGGTTTTATGAACTTAAGTAGATTAAAAAAGAAATTATTGTGAATTTCTGGCATTTCATTTCCTTGGCTGTTCTGTTTTAGAGAATAATTTTAACAATTATTTGACTGTTTCCTATGTGCTCACAAAAGGAGCAGATAATTCCAGTTGTAGCATATTCTGTGAACACCATGCTTTAAATACTCTTAACAAAAAGAAAATGGACTTCATAGTGTGTAGATGCTGCTTCCTCTCTATTATTGGTGTTACCTGATTTGCAGGGCACAGAAGGTCGATCAGGTTATCCTGGTGTTAGAGGGGACCCTGGATTTCTTGGATTCCCAGGTGTAAAAGGTATTAATACATTTATTACATACCCTTCTGTTTGCCAAATACAATAATTTACATGTTCTGTTGTAAGACTATGTGTGTTATTGTAGCAGGAGTGGTCCTAGAGACATGAGATTTTTCCATCAAGAGGAAAGTGTAGGTCAGCTATAAATGCAAGTGTTCACTATAAGGGCATTTTCTTTGAGCCAGATCTTATGGATATGAATAAACCAATGGTAGTGAGAAAGGACCAAAACATCAGTGTCCTCCATTCCAGGAAAATTCAAAACAAGTTTGTCCTTAGTGATTAATAATGTGTAAGGACTTTGAGACTGACTCTACTAATTAGAAATGCCACACCACTGCTAGAAGATGTGAATTTTTGGCAACCTCTTAGCTATAGAACTTAGCATTCAATCACAATTACAACACAGAGCACTGGGTCCTCTCTTTGCCATAAGAGTAGTCCAAGCTGTAATCTTAATTTACCATATTTTGAGCAGACAACCTGTTAAATATATTTGCTTCATTCATTTCATATTCCTGAGAGTTAGCTGGATCAGTAGCTGGCTAAAAATTTTTTTAATTTAGACATTTTTCTAGTGATTTAAATCTGATAAAGATCTATATTACTCCAGTATTTTCAATTACACAATTTATAATGATGCAAAATTTTCATTACCTATTTAACCTGCTGGTTTGTGTTCCATGCTAATTATTGTGTATTTTGAATTTGTTCTAATTTGAAAAGTCACCATAAAGACTAAGTATACTTAAGCAAAACCTCTTATTTTATGGCATAGTCAGTCAAATCTCCTGACTTGATGACAAAAATATTTTTTTAATTAATTTATTTCTAGCAGAGCTGTGGAGAGTAGTATGGATGTAACCTCATATTTTGCACAGTGAAAATAATTACTTTTTATGTTTCAAACACTTGAAAATCATACACCCCTGTAAGAGCCATCAGCATAACTGACAGCAGAGCTGAAGTGAACAGCATCACTGAAGGCAGCACTTGACCTGCAAACTCAGTGACAAAAACACACAAGATAAAAATTACACAGTCTAACGTTGAGATTTCAGTGAGATTTATGGCACCAATATGAGGATTGGCACGGAAACATGAACTGACTGCACTTGGCCTCTAACTGTACAGTAACAGCAGAGATGTTGAGCTCCACCTTCACATCTCAAAGGAATCCATCTACTCTTGAATGAGCCTCTGAAACTTTGACAGTTGTTTTGACATTTTAAACCAGAGCAACATATCTCCAATCTTCTTTTTTTAGGAGAAAAGGGTAATCAAGGACTCCCTGGACCACAAGGTGCAGAAGGGCCAAGGGGACCAAAAGGCCAGCGTGGTAACCAAGTCTACTCATTCTAATACCAGCTACCTTAGGTTGATTTGTTTATTGTGTTTTGTAGGGTTTTTTGCTTTCTTTTAATATAAAGCAATAGCTTTCCATTATATTTTTTGCTGCTAGGTCCACCTGGAGTCCCTGGGAGAGTGTTTGCCATCCCAGGAAGCAAGGGTCCTCCTGGTCTGCCAGGAATCCCAGGACCACCAGGTGATCCAGGAATTCAAGGAATTCCTGGTCTACAAGGTGTTGTATGTTTTTATCTCTGTACATGTTTGCATGGGCTGTTTAGTGGAACAATTTGGTTTGGTGGGAAAACAAACTTCTGGATAGAAAATTGACATGTCTTTAAAAATAGCTCTTTGTACCTGTATTTATAACCTGTCCCGTTCCATCTGCCCTCCACCCTTGCAGTCACTGAGTTAGTTTCTCCCTCATCATAAGCCTCAGCAAAATAACAGAATAAAAAATAGGCTTGGATCAAAACGTTCGCCATTTTCATACAATGAGAACCATGCTCAGGCTGTCATTTTGAGGGGGAAATTATGACATGTAATAGAAGTGCTCTAGATGTGCTACAAAGCAATTGTGTCTGTCATAGTCTGGGGGTAGGGAGGGGAGAGAAGGGCTGGTTACTTCTCCATTGGCACAAGAAGTGAATGGAGGAATGTGAGGAATGGAGAAACAAGAAGCAGGTAGGATAAGGTGGATGTGCAGTAGGTACTTGGCCACCCTTCTCAATACCACAGCTTTCACCCTGGGAAGGGAGCTCCCCAGGCAGGCAGGCATGCCAGAAGGCACACCCCAGTCAGGAGTGCCAGCTGCCTCCAGCACAGGGAAGCAGGCATTAAAGCATTGTTGTTTAACACTTTCCTTAAAGTCGTTATAAAAGGGGCTGCGTTATTTACAGAACTGCAAACCATGACCAAGATGGTTATGGCCTATCACTATCTTTTTGATCTATTGTATGACACCTGCTGAAAGAAAAAGCTGTTTCTTTGCTTTCTGTAAACATTTCTTACGAGAATATTTCTTTTTCTCCAATACATTCAATATTTCGTCATCACCTTCCTAATAGGAATTATGGTGGCAGTAACACTATAACTATAGACAGTCTCACAACTTCATGCTGATGGTTTATTCTAAGACAGCCACACTTACAAGGGGATTTTACCATTATTCATTAACGGTTATTAGAATCTAGAATAACTACTGCTATATGATTGTTTTATTTTCTTGATTACAATTTAGGACCTAAAGGAGTTAAAGGTCTACCAGGAAGTTTTGGTCTTTCAGGTCGACCAGGAACGCCTGGTCCAAAAGGAGACAGAGGCCTTCCAGGACAAAGAGGTACAGGGAAGCAGACATCTCTGTTTGACTCCTACTACAGATAAACTGTATTCCTGATTTCTGCAAATCCTCTTGCATGTATTGAGACTCTGTACCATTTACAGTAGCTTTAGGGCCACAGGCACATGTAAGCACATTCATAGCTTTTAACAGATGCATGCTTTCAACTTAATTGATAATTTACAAAAATTTGCCTTGATTGTGCTCCTCTGCTATTAATCACATTTATTTATCCACCTGAAATCCCTAGGTATCAGTGTGCCTTTTTGTGACATCAAAGTAAGCTAAATATTTTTTATTTAGTCATCATAAAATGTCTAAACTTTATAACTTAAAAAAATAATTAAAAAACAATAAGAAACAAAAATACCCACCAAAACAAACAAGAATCCCCAACAAACCAAACCCAGCCATGGTTCTTTAAAACACCTCACTATTCCATGACACTATGCAATGTAAAGCTACCTGAGCTGGGTCTGAAGGAGTTAATACATCTAGCAACAAATACTACCAATTTTCAAGTTCTATCTTCTTACTGATAGATTTTTGTTAGTTTTCAAGTGGTTCCACTAATTTAAATGAAGTAAAAATTTAAACAAAATTACAGTATTTGCAGTCATATTTCCTTTCCCTCCACAGGACAACCTGGACTGATTGGCTTTCCAGGTCTACAGGGATTACCTGGATCACCAGGTACTATCATTGTTGCTCCAACAAGAAGAGGCTTTATCTTTACCCGACACAGTCAATCAACAAAGATTCCTTCATGCCCACGTGGGACATCACAGATCTATGTTGGCTATTCACTGCTTTTTGTACAAGGAAATGAACGAGCACATGGACAAGATCTTGGTACTGTATTGGTAAAAACTTTCAGATATTTTTCTTTAGAGTCCAATAAGGCTAAATTGTCATGAAACCAAATTCACAGTACGTGTTTGAGATGAACATTGGTTCAACATCAGTGATGAACACTGATTTCAACCATCAGTCTCCAGAGTGGTCTGTTGCTCTGAGTTAATTCAGGAATCATGGTTTAAAAGACATCTTTCTTTACTGCACTCCTATATTCCTTTTTTTTTTGCCATCCCTAGACATTTTTTGAGGAGATTAAGTTACTTATGGATAGGTGTCTAGTAGAAATGCTCATGTCTGCACAGGGCTGACAGTTACAGCACAGGATCTGAGAGAAAATCTTGCTTTTTTGGAAACTAAATGGAATGCTTTAAGGTGTCAGAAAATACAACAGAAGCTTTTGTTTAAGCAGCTGAATCCCTGCTATTGTGTCATCAACTGATACCATTCAAGGTTACTTTAAGAAATTTGTTCTTAGACCTTATTTTTATATACACCATAAGGATTTTGCTTTCAGATAATTTCACGGTACAGACACTTCTTTCTTTATAGTTACCAGATGTTTTAATTCTCACTATAGTAGATTGGATGCCATCATGTGTCTCTTTTGTTTGCCACACTAAATAGAAGCTTCTCTCTGTCACAAACTTCTCTTTTAGGAACAGCTGGTAGCTGCTTGCAGAGGTTTACCACCATGCCATTCTTATTCTGTAATACCAACGATGTCTGTAGTTTTGCTTCTCGCAATGACTATTCCTACTGGCTGTCAACTGCAGCAGTAATGCCAGTAGACATGGCACCAATTTCTGGCAGGGAACTAGAGCCCCAGATAAGCAGGTAAGAGCCTGAGAACTGTAACTCTTCTGGCCTGGAACCACAAAGACATCATAAATTGTTTTGAATGGCAAATCTTAGGCAAAGATCTGCCCACCTCAGCCAGTACAACCATCTTTTTTAATCACCTGATTTTTGATTACTGATCTGAATATGTCAGATATTCAGTGATGTTCTACAAAAAGTTAGATTAAAGCTAGGGTTTTGCCACAGGGCTTAATCTGCATAGCTGATATGAGAAGATGGCACACACTCCTACTGATTGCAGTGATTTTTTAATATTTTTTTTTATAAACCTATTGTTGTGTATAATGGAAGCAGTTAAAAATGAAATGAAGACAGATTCATTATTTGGAATACAGTACAAATCAAGTTCTGCTTTCAATTGTGTGTGATACATTTACTGTAGTTGATGAATAACATTACAAGTTGAGGCTGAAGGCTCTGTCCTATGAAATACCCTTGTGCAAATGCGACCCTTTCTAGTTGCTTTAGGACAGCTGAGAATGCATGAAAAGCATCTTAAGAGGAAAAGCTCTAAAAATTTGCAAGACCAAGAATACCAAAGTAAAAGATGCAAAGGCAAGCTTTGCATTCATGTCTTCTAGCCTGCCCTAGCCAGATGTTGCAATCTAGTACCTCAACATCATAGTTTCTTCATTGAGGAAGTGAAGATTCCTTTTTCTACGGTACAGAACTTCAATTTAAACCATGACAACATACACTAGTGAGCACACAAAGAAGAAAAAATTCATCTTGTTACTTCAGTAAAGGCAAAACTAGGAAACTCAAATGTTCTGAGACTAATTCCCATCTTAGACCAATTTTTGTCTGGTGTTACTAGTAGGCAATACAAAGCAATTGCAAAGCAAGGTATTTTAGTTACCTTCAATTTACTGAACTCCTTGTTAAACAAAGAAAACCTGTGTGAGTGGTAACATTTATCATAAGTTCTGCTATTAGGTAGCTATTGTCCTAGCAAACAGAATTTCTGTCTGCTTTCCTGTTTTCCCTCATATCTGCACTGAGTGCATGTGTGTTTCTTCTTACAGGTGTGTTGTCTGCGAAGGACCTGCAATGGTAATAGCAGTTCACAGCCAAACAACTGTCATTCCTGCATGTCCAGAAGGCTGGACATCTCTCTGGAAGGGTTTTTCTTTTGTTATGGTAAGCATAGAAAGACTTGAATTATTAATTTTATTATTAACTTTTATTGTAATTTGCATCTGCTTATAGCTCATTTGTTTCTTAACAATGTTGATGTTCTTTTTGTTGGGTTTTTTTCTTTTCCCAAGAAGTAGACAATAATTCTATTAACTCTTATTCAATGCCAGAAGCATAGGAACAACTATTCTGATCTGTCCTCAAAAATAAGTGGCAGGCAGAAAAGTGGAAATTATAAAATGAGAACCATGGGATTTTAGTCTGACAAAAATAACTGCATGCTCTCATTTTCACACAGCATGCTAAGATCTAGGAAACAGGTTTGAGGAATGGAGTGGTTAAACTGCTCCTGAACACAAACACACAGAAATAACTGAACTGGCAAGCAGTTATTTTCTAAATCTTGGGGCTGAACTCCACAGAAAGCTAAAATCAATCCAAAAGCAATGCACTGCCTACAAAACACTGCCTCAGCATTTTTTATGCCATAACAAGATATGAGTGAAGAAAATTCATAATGTGCCGTCAAAGTAAGGACTGTTTATAAAATTAAGGGGGTAGCTAGACCAGAGGACACAGCATTTCATCTTTGTTAGCCATGCCTGTGGGATGTCATAGGGATGCCAGCAAATGGGGTTAAAATAACTAAAACCCCCTTTTTTTTGGCATGACGTAAAACTTTTTAGGTTTAGTGTGTAATTTGTTGCTTCTCCTGGGATTTGGCTGTAAGTAACACTAATCATAATCATCTTGGAAAAGAACAAGAATTTTTTTCAGCATCTGGTTAAAGTAATTTGCTTGTTTTCAACATTACCAATTCTAAATGGTATTTCCTAGCCAATATTCTACTATAATAAATTATTTTAGAGCTATTTCTAGAAGCCTTTGCCAACATCAGGGAAAGAAAACACCTTCTTTGCTTTTGTGTGTTTGGGGAAGCAATCAAAGCAACAACAAATATGAACACACAAAATAGGGGATTTGGCTTATTTGTAATTCAGTTACTCTAGTCCTCAACTGGACAGAAGCCAGGTACTTTCTAGTTTTTGTACTGGTTACGGTTCATGTCTTATCATGTAGCAGAAAAAGGGCTTTGCAGGGACTTAGGAAATGTAACTGTGCTTTGGTTTTCATAGGGCTTTTGTGCCTCACTGTAAGTTGGATAAAACTAATCTGCTCATTTTGTTTTGTCCAAGATGTACCACAGATGGTATGGCATGTTCTAGAAAGAGATTATTTTTTTTTGGCTGCAGTTTACTAATAGCTGATGGACAAGTTCTCATAACAAATGTATTGGTGGTTACAGTACACAAGTGCTGGCTCAGAAGCTTCTGGCCAAGCACTGGCATCTCCTGGATCCTGTTTGGAAGAATTTCGAGCCATTCCATTCATAGAGTGCCATGGCAGGGGGACGTGCAACTACTACACAAATTCCTACAGCTTCTGGCTCGCATCATTAAATCCAAGAAGAATGTTCAGGTAAATCCAACTTCCTTGCACCCATACACGTTGCATCCATGCTGCAGGTTTCCAAGGAGACAATAACTACCTGTATAAGATGACTCCCCTCAGTTTAGACATCCCCTTTTGTTAGCTTTAGGGTCATTTCGTAGCCCAAAGATGCCTTCAGTGAGCCAAAGATTTCAGTGTTGTTTTCAGTAATTCCATATCCAAAGTTTCATTTTTAAAGAAAAAGTAAAGTTTATTTTCTTTCTTGTAGGAAACCTCTGCCACAGACTTTGAAAGCAGGAGAACTAGAAAATATTATCAGCCGTTGTCAGGTGTGCATGAAGAGACCAGTCTAAACAGTGGCCACTCTTGATGGAACATGAAACTCTGCTTTTATTTACAAAGAATTGCCTAACTCTGAAGAGCTATAATTTATTAAAGTCCAACTGCATCTGGAAAGAAAATCATAAATTGCCAGTGCAGCACTGTGGTGAGGTAGGGCAACAGTTTGACTTTTGTCTTTGGCAAATGACAAAGCACTTTGTTGGAGAAAGCTTGTAATGGCAGTCGGCAGAACCGTGTCATTCCTAAGCTGCATCTTCATGATAAACCTATGGCATTGCCAAATCTTTAATGAAGGGTGTTAATGCTGCCTCGTGTCATGTGCTTTTCAAACTGCAAGACAAACTAAACGCTCTAATACCAGCTTCCATGTGTTCAGTGTTCAAAATGGATATAATTTAACATGAAAATCTGGCACTCACGAGAGAGAGGGTTCAATAAGAAATATTTTCAGTGCACTTTTAAATATATGTTGATTCATTTAGGGTTGGGTTGGTTTGGTTTTCTTGCCTAATAAACAAGTCTCTCCCCACATACCTCAGCCTTCCTCTGGCTGGCAAACAGGAATGCAATATTTTGCATCACTGTAATAATGCTGGTTGTTGACTGGCCAGAGAGGGAGCGGCGCCGTGCCCTGGGCAGGCAGAACAGGGTGACACACACCAGCTGTGCTCTCCAGAGTGACCATGGCTAAGGGCTGACCAGTTGAAAGTGTTGCAAAGCTTTCATTAGATTTCATGGCTTTTGACACAGGTCATGAGATTTTTCAAATGCTTAAAAAGTTGACAGTATTGGGCCTTTGTTATCATCGCATCTTTTCTCTCTACCAAAGAACTATTTAGCATATCATATTTCAGGATTTTAACTGAATTAACAATTACTGTGTGGCTCAAGTGCTCCCCTGACATTACCAGGTTATCACACACCCATCAGGATGTGATCTCTTTCTATGTAGTTTTTAATAGGTAACAGAAAAATGTAACACTCTCATTTTATAATGTTCCATATTTAAATATTTATCATAAATTATTTTCTATATTAAATATTTATCACACATTTCTGCAAATGAAGCCATTTATTCCATCCAGATAAATGCAGGCATCCAAAATTTAAGACATTGATATTTAAATTGTACCATCTGAGCACTGACTTACACGAGAGAATCCACCTGTAAACAAACATAAATACTTGAAAAGCACTTTCATTTACTCATATAACTTATATAAAATTGTAGCTCTGAGGTTTTGGTTTTTATATTTATAACATTGCACTTGCAAGGCAGTTTAAAATTGTAATGTTAACATTTAAAAAGTTATTATTTTTTTGATACTTGCACAATCTATCAGAATTCCAGTATTTAGTGTCATAGAAGAAGCCTAATTCATCTGAATAGTTCTGTAAATGCATAATTTTAAATGTAGGGTCTAGCAACTCAATTAAATAACCATTTAGTTCTTTTTTAAGCCAGTGAAATATTGTATGGTTTCTGTTAAAAGACTTGCATGATGTTTGTCTGACTGTTTGAATTTTCAGTGTTAACCTAACTAAGAAAAAGTTTCACCTGTGTTTCATGCCAGTACCTTCTGATGGAGCTCATGTGAAGACACCATTGACATGAACTGAATGCATATTTTAACATGAGTGTTTGCTTGAACAGTCATAGCACTTCTGTTTGCAAGGTACAATTGTGAATGTGCAGGTTTTTATGAAGAATCTCTGTGAAGATGCACTACTGATAAGAAGGTGTTAGTGTCAAGTTCATATATAGTCTTCCATTTGAACCAGGTTTGGGGATGGGAGTGTTTTCATAGACTCACAGAATTGTTTGGATTGGAAGGGACCTTAAAGATCATCTGGTTCCAAACCCCCTGCATGGGCAGGGACACCTCCCACTAGACCAGGTTGCTCAGAGCCCCATCCAACCTGGCCTTGAACACTTCCAGGGAGGGGGCATCCACATCCATTTTCCTTAAAAAAATCCCATATTGGATTTTTCCATAAACTCTGAAGTTTAAATGCTCAAAGATAAAATTCACACTCATTGCTGGTCAGGCTGTTGGCTTTTGGTCTTCTTTTCCCATTGAGGCTGACTGCAGTCACCCAAAGGCATCCTGTACTGTGTGCAGTTGGTGGCTGGGGACATCCTCCTGCAAAACTTGACAGTAAAATGCAGAATGTAAGTACCTGAGGTTAAAGTCTGCTGGAAAGGGTCAGTAGAGGGTAATGTGCAAGGAGAAGGGAATGGATTGTGGTTTTAAAGTCCAAAGGTAAGTTACACAGAGTTTTGTCTTGTACTATAGCAGGTAACTGGAAGTTATGCCTTGTTCCTAGCTTTGGATTCTGCTGCTCATTTATTGTGTGGCCTTCAACAAGTTACTAAAGAAAGATTTGCATAAATAGCTTTAGAATTTGAGTGCTTAAACTCAGTCTGTCTTTCAAAAGCATGAAATACAACTGCAGGGACACACATGTTCATCAAGACCAGTGTAATATAAGCTGGACACAGAAAATCAAAGAAAAACTTGGGAAAAAAGTTGACAAATCTTAACTTCTTTTGCAGATGCAGATCATTTTACTTCCTTACTGCTAATGATTGTTGTGAGGATTAGTTAACTCATGTCTGTAAATGCTTTGAAAGCCCTAACTGGAGAATGCTGAGGAGGTGCAAAGTGTTAATATATTGTACTGAAAGCACGGAAACAGGAGAAATTGGAAACAATGAACAAAAAAGGGGGGGGGGAAGGGGGGGGAGGAAGGAGGAAAGCAAACCTTCTGCTAAATACAGCCAAATAAAAATATTTTTAGTAAATAAAAGACCTTTTTTAAATTTGTTTGTTTGGTTTTGTTCTTCCCAGTGCTAATGATCTTTTTCACTATCTATGCATAATATTTTTTACCAAAAAAATGTTTGTTTAAAGTGTCATCAAAATAAAAACCAGTAAGTGGAGTTTGCCTCTCCTGCCCGGACTGCCCTGGAAGCCCAGCCCCTCAGCGCGGTTACCCAGCGGAGAGCAGGGCGCTGTGCAGCCGGGGGGACCCTCCCCTGGAGCGCCGCGCGCTGCCTGCCGAGCCGTGCTCCCG